TCTATGAGCCCTAATGCAAGCCTGGTTAAAAGCCCTAGAATGAAACGACAGGTTTTCTTCCTCTTATGGTATGCTCATGAATATTTAGATGAGCTGCGTGCTGATTGGTTGGTTTACAATGAGCGAAGCTGCTGAGCAAAGACACATCATAGCAACAAGCACTCACTATCTGAAACATCAAATCATTGATATGGTAGGGTGACCAGATGTCCACCTTTTCCAGGACACGTCCTACTTTTCATACCCAAAAAATATCCGGGGGGTAATTGCAAAAATGTCCGGCATTTTCGTCGACTACAGTGCAGTATGTAGTAAAAACACACTGGGCATTCGAACCAAGCCGTTAGCTCCGGGGCTGGTCCAGGAACCCTGGTGGACGGGGGTAGGGAGCCAGCGGGGGACGGAGCGACTGAACCCAACCCGGTGACGGTAGCCTGGATACTGGCGGCCACGTGCTTCTCCCTGCCTGCCTTACTGGCCCCAAGCCCCCCTCCTCTGGCTGATGACGGCCAGCTTATTGACCTCTCTGCTGAGGTCCGGTCCAGTCACCAGCCCAGTAGTCAACACTTCAAACCCCCCGTCCCTTGGGCCAGTGAACCAGTGGGCTGGCCTGTATGTAAATTACTGGTTGTGACAAAATTACACGCCAGAACCAAATAAGGCAACATCCCCGAGTTTACGTCAACTCTGGGCTTTGTCTGGATTCGGCCATTTTATGGTGGAAGTTTAGAATTTTGAGATGTGCAGAGAAAGGAGGTGTCGATGGGATTTGAACTTCTCTGTACGGCCATTTCAACCACTGAAATATTGTTTATTATCTATGACAATGGAAACTCAGTTTTGCGTTCTAAGACCCCTTTAAGGCTGTTTCCAGTTTGACCAGTCATTCATGTGCATGTGTGTCACATAATGATGTCCGTAAAGTGGGGTTTGTTCGGCTTCATCATGGTAAAGGGATTTTTAGTAAAGTTCTAAATGTTGACCTTGTGAAAGGTGAAGGGATAAGGGAGAAAATTTAAGGTATTTTGATTGAGCCTATGATTCTTGGCTGGCCTGGGAGCACCTCGGGCTTCCTCCAACAGAGCCGAAGGAGGTCTAGGAGTCATTCTCAATGACAACTCAATGACCCTTCACACCCCCACTGTGGACCGTTCTCCCTACTGACCTCTAGGAAGAGGCTTTGCAACATTCGATGCAGGTCCAGCAGATTTTTCCCCACCGCTATCAGAGTGCTGAACTGAAATCTAAATCATGTCAGTGACTCAGTATGACACTGACAACACCAAACCAAAACTACTGGAGAATTTCACCATATATATGAATGCTCCAAACTTCCATATCCATGCATTTTTTGCACCATGTTTTTCTCCCACACTGTTTACTTTTGATCACTGCTGCACTTTATGGAAGGGAAATGTTAATTTACTGTCTGAAAAGCTGTACTGAACAAAATTTTGTTTTGTATACACTTTTTGTTTGCAAAATGACAATGAAAGTTGTCCAAGTCTCTACTGAGACTGTTGCCTCCAGATAAGTGGAAGACAACAATGGCAATTGCTCAACTACACACTCCGCCTCCTTGCCCTTCTAGGGGTTTAAATGCAGTTGGAGTTTCAAAATCAAAATCATTTTCAAAGGCTAGCTTGGTGCAATTAACAGTGTAAAATGCAATAATTGTCTTGACGTCCTTGTCATAAAATGAAGATGTGTATGGTATAGTTGGTTAAATGTTGGAACAGAATACATGCAAGAAAGTGGTTTAAACTTAATCTAAGCATTTGAAACTTTTTGCAAACTTTTTAACCAGCAACTTCTGACTAAGCTTAGTTCCTAAGTTTTTAGTCTATGCCACCGGAAAATATAAAGTTTAGTAAGCTTTATTCTATAGCAATTATTGAAGTGTGTAGGTTGCAACCAGCCTAGTTGGGTTTAAACTGTGCACCTACTGTGTCAGTATAGACAGGCCACACAAGACCATCTAAAAACAGTAGAAAAAAAAAAGTGAAAAGTTTAGAACACAAATCCATTTATTTAAGTGTTGATTTGAAGCAAACAAACAAAAAAAATCTGATACATAAATGATTAATCAGAGCTGTTGTTTTGGCACAATGCAGCCAAAGTTTATGATGTGGAGAAGGAATTTTTAAGTTGACCATTTATTCCATCGAAATGCACCACAGAAGAGGAAAATACATACTCTCTTGAGTTTCATCCCAGGGTCAAATCTGTATAAATGAAGTAGTCTTTAAAGTTTTGAAAACCCCTGATGAGGGCTAATCAAAAATACTGTCTTTAAATGCAGTATTCAGCCAGTCAAGAGTTCATGGATTGTATCTTCTCAACTGTTGAAGGACTCTGGTACACGTTGACAACTTGTGTTGCATCCCTGAACAGTGGAAGTCCTACTCCAAGTGTGTCTTCTCTTGCAGGAACTTGTATTCATACTGAAAATTAAAAAAAAGTTCCAGTTACCAAGGATTTAAACCCCGTTACGAACAGATTTAGCTTCTTTATCTTTAAAGCAAAAAAAGTTCACATTTCATGATAAAATTACAAACACACCTGAGAGAGTAACAGAGAGAAAGCCATCCATAGCTACCATTAAAGGAAAACTGAAATGTAAACCTTAATTTCTGGTGAAGTATAGGAGATTAACTAGCCTGCATTATCTAGCCTACTTCTCCAGTGCTACTTCATTTGTGAAGGTAAAACTAATGTTTGTGTTTCCTATGTCATTCCTGTGCTGGCAGTGAATATAACAGTGATCATGTTGACCTCATTTAGTGGTTGGAATGATTGTTTAATATTTAGTAAATCACCAGCCTCCCAGACACCTTCGTTTTGGACCTGCCATTACCCCTGGCAGGGGGTAACGGCAGAGGGCATCCCTGCTGTCTGGTCTTCATGTCTGCATTTGACAATGACAGCACAGGTGACCCTTAACGTCACAGACTGCTGCTAAATTGCTCTCTATGAAGAACATAGACTTTGCTGGTGAAGATTTTCAGTCATCCAGGTCATAGTAATTAAAAAAATAAAAAATAAATACGGTAAAAAACAATCCACTGGACTTTGTTTCCAAGTTTGAAGACGTTTCATTTCTCATCCAGGAACCCATTTTAATTCAAAATTGAAAATTCTGAATTGAAATTCAAAACAACCTCTCCACAAATGCATGGCCCAACACAAAAGAGCAACCTGTAATACACCTCTACCTTACGGAAAAGGGAAACTCTTTAGAAGACCAGAATGTTCACTTTTTGGACAAAGAAGATAGGTGGTTTGAGAGGGTAATGAAGCAGGCCATCTATGTTAAGAAACAAAAACAAACCTTTAAACAGATGGGGTGGACTCAGATTTTGGCTTTCAAAAACCTACAATTCAGTGATTGAGTTGATTCCTTCCTGCTATTATTTCCCTTGTTCACCCCATTACAGGGGAACAGAGCACCTCACCTCTTAAGCCAGGCCAACAATTCTCTTTAACGACCCCCTTTCAGAGACATAGACAGGTTTTGCATATTACAGGTTAACGAAGAAACAAAACGACACGATTCCAAAGGTGTGGACATGCACATTAGGTTCAATTTGTATGTTTCTAAGCCAAAACAAGGCTTGGTTTTGGTCCACTCTATAAAGCCTTGAACTCAACGCTATTTCTTACATTTTGTGTTGAACAAGCTTCCTGGATGGGAAGTGAAACATCTTCAAACTTGGAAACAAAGTCATGGACTTGAAGAACTACTTCTGAATTGCCTTGTCAAGACTATCAATTTTGTAAAAGCTCCAAAAGACATGAAAAAAAAAAGAAAAAAGTGCACTTTGGTTCATCAAGACCCAGCTCTGATTCGGTCAGATTCGGTGGGACTCCCTTGCCAGCATCAGAAAGCCCTGATACTGGCAAGGGGCAGTGAAAGACCAGGTTCTATCCTGGAGGTGAGTAAGGACAATTAATGGGACTAAATTGAAACGACTTTTTTAAAACCACCTAAAAACCTCCTGAGAGCATTACTTATTTCTACCTTTGTTAACATTACTTTCTCTGTATTCCATTTTTAGTGAAAAAAACTTCACCTAAAACCAGTCCCTGATTGGCTGCCGTGTCGTGATTTTATAGAAAAGTTCAGCTTGTTTCATCTTCAGAGATCACTGCTCCTCTCTCTCAATGCGGTGCTGCTGTTTTACAACACCTCAGCTCTATCTAGTAGCTTGAGTTGGGGGCAGAGCATTGAATGCTCTCACTTTGTGGAGTTCAACTCTGGCCACTTCACTGCGCGGGTTGTATAGGAATTCTATGTTAATCCACCGCACTGGCCGTGGCCACCGCCTCTGGTCTGAATGCACCAAAATGAGGTTCCAAAGATGGAGCCTGGCGATATCAGGCGACAGCAATACCAGACAGAGGTGAGATCAGGGAAGATGACAGGTTTGACAGGGCAAACAACTTCATGTAATGACGGGTTGTAACAGCAGAGACATGAGCATGATATACAGATAATATTTCACATATATGCAAACAGTATATGGAAACAACATACACATCTGACACTTATACATAAACCCATTACATATACAGCTTCTGTTAGATAGGCATGTAAGACGCACACCTTACATGGACATGACCCAACACACAACGTATCTTGTTCCCCTCCGGTATGCATCTGTCAACACTGTGTATTTGCATTGGTTTTACACTATTGAAGAAAAAAAAAAATACATTTTGGGTTTTTTTACCAGAGCAAGCTGTCGTCCAATGTTTCCCATGGTGATCACCCCAGCAAAGAAGATGCAGGGAAGCCAGGAGCGAATGTAGATGAAATCTGGATTAGTATACCTAGGCAGGGAAAATTCACAGAACAGAAAAATCATTTTTACACTTAATTTCCGCAATGCCACATCCTCAACCTTTTTTGCAAACCAGATTTTGCTTGACAATATTTTAAAACAAAGACGGTAAGACGGAGTGTTTTTTGTTGACTATATAACTATGCTTTAATTAACAGGATTACTCTGTATCACAGATAGATTAAGTAAAATGGAAAGAAAGATAATCAGCTATTAAAATAAGTTGGAAAACACAAAAAATATAAACAAGTTAAGTTAAAAACAGCAACAACAAAAAACATTTTCAATAAATTGTAGATGAATACAATTTAACAGTCATGTAGCTTACTGAAACACTCCGTTGTAAACCAGTATCTGGGTGGCCACTGTGGCAAGTAAGGCAAAGCTAACTCCCAAACCAAAGCCACTACGGGAGCGGTCGAAGGTCCACCACAAACCAATAGAGAGTGCCGCCAGGGTCAGAGACAGCTGGAAGTTGTTAGCGAAGTTTACTTTCTGGCAGAAGGGGGTTAAGAAATAACCAGGCCTGCAGGATTACTTACACATTGGTCCTTGAAAACTGCTGAAATTATTCAGTTCATTTATCAAACATGAAATCAATTATCTAGAATAGTGGTTTTCACTCCTGTTACACAGGTACTACTGCTCTGCATGTTTTAGGTGTCTCCTTTCTGCCACACACAAAACTTAAATGAAATGACCATCTGCAGCACTTGATGGCTGCAGAGAAGTCTATGTACAATTATCATTTGAATCAGGTGTGCTGCAACAGATTACTGAATTGTAGGTCTGGATAATAATGTCCTGGTGAGCCCAGGGACACTTGGTCAGTGTTCCTGGGTTCACAGCCAAAAGCAGGTAAAACTGGCAAAAAGTTTGCAGGTTTCGCATTTGGTTTGAACACATTTGTACAGGCAATATTGTATGCCTTGCTGCTATACATTTATATGTATATATATACATATATAAAGCCATATTTAGTGGAAGAAATTATGCTAAATTGAATGTTCATGGACTATTCACACTTCTACAGAAGCAGTTTTTCAAAGACATTACAAAAGCTATTTGGTTTGCTAAAGGAAGCTAAATGATAACTTTAAAACAATTTGGGAGTTGAATGACCTTAACAATCAATGAAATACAAGGAATATATGTATTGTGCTTGTATCATTATTTATGAATTCAGTTTTGAATTAAAAAAGTATTTTTAATGGCTTTTGATTAAAATGCAACTAATTGGGATTAACTGAATAAAAACCCTGTAATTGACTATCAAACATCGGTTCCCAACAATAATATCAAATTATTCAATGGCACTTTTTATAATATAATTGTAAAAATAATATTTTAATTTATTATTAGATAAATACATTCACCTACTTAGCTTATGGTGCATGTATTTATTTCATGTGACATTGAATTTAATAATATATTTCTCCTTTCTATTTACCTCAGAGATCACATCATAACAATTACGAAAACCATCATTGACCCCTTGGGGAACTCAACCCCAACTTTGGGAACCGTTTGTCTGGAGCAGGGGTAACCAATTAAAAATCAGTGTGGTCCGAGCACAGAAAATCATCAACCAGTAAAGCTTCGGAGACATTTTTAATTATAATCTGCTACTTTACACAGAATTTAAAACTGAAATAAAAGCAGGTTTTAATGCATCTGTTATACTTTTAATCTTTAATTAAAAAAGAAATCGTGTTTTTTAAATAGCGAACAAGAATCGTTCAGTTTTGTATGTAGACAATTTCCTGATTCACATATTTTATAAAACACCTGAACTGACCGTTTTTTGTTTTTTATGGCTTAATGAGAGAAGTGGATTTTAGGCTGCCCTGCAAGGCTTTAAACAATTGCAACAAAGCCATTCTCAAGCACATATCAAGGTGCTCATTGCTGAGCCTGGATTAATATTTATTTTTTATTATGTTCATGGTGGAAAATCCTGCTTCACAGCAGCACTTTGAGCCAAACATACTCAAAATGGGTAGGGTCATCTTTGAGCATGCCATTTCACTTTTCTTTTACCAGTTCACTGTGGTTCTTCAGCAGTCCACAGTTTCTCTGCTCTCTTTTTCTCATTGTCTTCACCTTTTTCTCATCACCTGGCTTGCCAACGGTTTCCCTTCTGTGTCTAAAAGTAGCAAGCATATAATAGGGATGCACGATAATAATCGGCCCCTATCGGTATCGGCCTGTATCGGCCTTAAAACCAAATATCGGACATCGGCCACCCCACCGATA